AGAGCACCTTAGGAACATCATGAATACCAAACCAGCACTCCAAAAAATTTTAGACAATATCCTAGGAAAAGAAAATGAGGATTACAACCCCAGGAAGCCCAGCAGAATGAATCCATAGGGCACAACAAGAATTTTTTAAAAAGGGGAAGAATCCAACAAAAAGAAAAAGTCAAGACAATGATAAGTCAATATGTATCAGTTATAATCATCAATGTTAATGGTCTCAATTCACCAATCAAAAGAAATAGGCTGGCAGAATGGGTTGAGAAGCAAAATCCAACAATATGCTGCATACAAGAAACACAATTCAAAATGAAACTCATAGACTGAAAGTTAAAGGGTGGAAAACAATACTCCATGAGACAGGAACCTGAAGAAAAGCAGGAGTAGTTATCCTCTTTGCAGATCAAGTGGATTTCAAACCCACATTGATTAAGAGAGACAAAGAAGGACACTACGTCCTTGTAAAGGGAAGAATCCAAGAGGAAGAGATGACAATCATAAATATCTATGCACCAAACACTAGTGCGCCCAACTATATAAAACAAACCCCAAAGGAACCCCAAAGTCTGCAAATACCTCCACTTAAGTTCTTTCCTAACCCCTGTGAGAAGGCAAAGCGGGAGGAATTTTAAGGCAGTGGATGAGAAAGAATAGACTGAAATAATGAAGCAGAAATTTCAGCTGCTGGCTGTGAAAGTAGAGGTAGGTTTTGAATTTGAGTCCCTCCAGGCTAATTTATTTCTAGAGCAAAAATCAGAACTCTTTAGAGGAAGGTAACAGTGTAGAGACCCTACAATGTAAATCTACTATGTCTAGAACACTGATGAAGGTTATTATACTGATTAAGAAACAGAAAAATTTCACTCTGATCCAGGACAAAAAGGAGTTCATATAAATCAACCCCAGCAATTCACAGATGGTAAAATAACAAAAACTTTAGTCTAGCAGTCATTGCACTGTGTATATGTATGTTAGATGATGTATAGGTTAAATGTATTCAGCATGAATAAATTAATTATTAACAAATGGCCAAGAAATGAAATCTATAAGCAAGAACCAATCAGAAATTCTCAAAATGAAAAGTCAATACCTGAGATTACAGAGCTTAATGAGACTTATACACATATTGGGACTCGCAAAAGGTATGCAAGAGGATTAGGATGCACTCGGGACAGGTTTGCCAAGCCACAGGGAGCCACCACGCCATCTACAGTGGGCATAGGAGCTGTGCTGCCCGCACAAGGGCCTGCTGGGTCCCCATGTACTCCGTGACCACCGCTGTGATGTGGTCTGGTCTGTGTGGACAGGCAGCCAGCCAGGGTTATGGCCATGTCACCTTCTCTGTATTTTGGTGGTTTCCACCCCTTCTCCCAGTCAGTAATGGATCAAGCAGACCAAAAAGGTCACGTGAGTATATAAAAGATCCAAACTACACCGTCAAACCACTGGGATATTTGATGTTCACGCATCTCTATACCCAACAACTACAGAACTTCTTTTCATATGTACACAGGATACTCACCAAAAGAAAGTATATAGTGTTCCATAAAGTACAAGAATAAAGACCAATGGAGTGAAATCTTACAGAATAGGTTTTCTAATAGAAGGCAATTGTAATCATGAAGACATTAAATAAGATATCAACACAAAATGTACAGAAATTCCCAATTATTTGGAAATTGAGCAAGAAACTGCTAAAGGATATATGAATAAAAGAAGAAATCACAAATGAAACTAGGCAATACTTGCACTGCATACAAATGTAAATATGGTAAATGGCAATTTGTGGGACAGAGCTGGAGCAGTGCATGGTGATTTAAAATGCTTATTTTAAGAAAGGGGAAAGAGTTAAATTCAGTCATTGAGCCTATCAATGAAGTTCAGTAAAGATGAACAAATTAAATCCCAAGTCATTATAAGAAAGGAAAAAAATTGAAAGTAGAAATCAATGAAATATAAAATGACAATAACCAAATAGTAGATGGCATGAACAAAGCCAAAAGGTTGTCCTTTGTATATGTTAACAAAATTTCAATATTTGAAATAGGAGGATATAAATATAGATCGCACAGACAAGTAATAAGATGATAACATAAACAACTTCATAGCAATAAATTTAACAAGTCGGATGAGATAAAAATAATCTCTGAAAGAATACAACTTGTAGATACTAACTCAAGAAGAAATAGAAAATCCAAATAGCTTTGTATTTGTGAAGAAAACAAAAACCTTCCCACAGGTAAATCTTTAGTCTCAAGTGGTTTTATTGGTGGAATTTATCAAATATTCAAGGAAGAAATAATATCAAACTTACAAAAACTCTTTCAGAAAAACAGGAAAAATGGAATACTACTCAATTTCTATTGTGAGGTCAAGATAACCCATACTCTAAACCTGACAAATATATCAAAAGACAAAATTGCAGAGCAATGTCCCTTATAAACATAAATGAAAAAAAATCTCTAGAAAAACATAAGCAAGAGGAATTTATCAATATATAACATGACGGATATATCAGGACCAACTGGCGTTTATCCTGGGTTGGCATTTTCTTCAGCTTATCAAATTAACAGAATAAAGAAAACATGTCTTATGATCCTTTAAAATTATGCAAATAAATCACCTGCTAGAATTTAATGTCCATCTTTGATATGAACATCTCATCGAATTAGGTGCAGAGAGGGCATTTTCAATCTGATAAAGAACATCGATAGAAATCCCTCAGCCAACAACATATTTAATGGTGAAACTGAATGTTTTTCCCCTTAAGATTATGAACAATGGAAGGATATTCACTGTCATGTCATTAGTTCTATACAACAGTATTCTGGAATTCTTACCTAGTGAGAAAATTTATGAAATTTATAAAAAATTTATAAATATTGCAAATGAAATAAAAATCTTTATTTACAGATGACATTATTATCCATGTAGAAAATCCTAAGAAATCTGCAAAGCAGCTACTGAAACTCATAAATGAGTTTGAATTTGACACCTTTGCAGGGTACAATTTCAATATACACTATCATTTTTCCAATATACTTGCAGCATATAATTGAAAAATTGAAAGAAAAATGCAATTTGCAATAGCATCACAATTATGAACTACTTACAGACAAATAACAGCGTATATGTAAGAT